GGTGGTGGTGGTGGTGGTTGTTAAGTGCTGCTAATTGCACTGTAACTCGCAGCGACCCTGTGAACGAACCATAGATCTGAGTCTAGTCTTGTCCTGCATCAGCCTCACCTCCCTGATGACATTAGAATTCAGTGTCCAGTCACTGTGTCGGTCCATCTTGGTGAGGACTTTCCTCTTCTCTCTCATCCTCCACCTCTCCCAGCGTGTTATTTTTTTCCACGACACCCTCCTGACATCCCTTGATTCTTTTGTCATCTTTAACGCTTCTCCTCCCATCCCTTTTTATTCCATACCATTTATTTCGTAAAGGAATCCTGATTTCCAACTTGTAGAAATTTCCTAGCTCAGGATATTCCTCCTTGTACCCTCAGGTGGTAGTAAATGTGTTCCTCCAGGCCTCATATGTTCCTTAAACAAGTCGTTAGATTGCTCCAGTGTTTTTGCGTGTGTTTTGTTTTGCTGTTGGTTTGCAGGAAGGTAATGTAACATCATTGCAGTGCCGGTATCACCTCAAAAGGCACATAACGTTAGATTGCACACTCTGAATGATTTTAAGTTGATCATCAGGTTCAGCCCGATCTACCCATTGCAGAACTCCCTGTCAGCCTTTGACCTGATGATGTTAGCACTCAGTGGTAATCGTCGCCTGCCTCCATAGTTACTTCAGTAACTACTCACTGCTGTCGAGTCAGGGTCGACTCGTGGCTGACCCTCCCGTAGATTTCAGAGGCTGTAAATCACACAGGCGGAGATTACCAGGTTGCTTCCTCACAACCCCTGGTGGATTCGAACCATCGAAGGGCAGGGTCTGCCTTTGGGTTAGCAGTGCAAACCCTGCGTACTATGCCACCAGATTTCACTGGATACTGCAAAATAGTATTTCTAAATTCTGCCATTCCTTTTGTATTTATTGAATGGAATTCTTGTATTAGAAAAATAATTAATAATAATTAGTAGAATGAGACTTCATCAACTATTGCTTACCTGGTGGCCCTCACTCCTAGTGTTACTATATTTTGGGGGAACATTCTTCTATATTTTTTTTTCATTTTATTTTATTATTTTTTTTGTGTGTTCGTGTACCGTCAAATCAGATCTGACTGGTACAGGAGGAGATTGTCCCTCCTTCTCCAGCAGAGCATCTGGTGGATTCGAACCGTGCGCCTCTGGGATTGTAGTTGCAGCTCCTTGCCACTAGGCCACCAGAGCTCCCCAGAACATTCTTCTAAGTGGCACAGCACTCGTCTGCCAATTTTCTGTACAGAGGTAACCTGGGGTTGCTGTGATGCTGAACCCTGTACCACTGGGGTGTCAAATGCCATAACGGTTACCCATTGTCAACAGTGTTTGGTGGAGCTCCAAGTTTCAGACAGGTTTGGAAGCAGGAGTGGTGTCCACTTCCTAAACAACATGCCTCTGGAAACTCTACAAACTTAGAGAAATAACAATAGTTACAGAACAGGGTTCAGGTCTTTTGTTTATAGGGTCACTATGAGTCATGTTCGACTTGAGGGCAATCAGCAACAACAACAAAGTATAGTTGTGTCTGAGCCCTGTTCCCTGGAGAAGAGGAGAATATTGAGATGAAAATTCAAGAACACTTAATTATACTTACACAAAATCTGTGCCTAGACCAAGAAGCTGTTGTCCAAGCAGAGCAAGGGAACGCTGCACGGTTTAAAACTGAGAAAGGAGGGAGCTCTGGTGGCCTCATGGCAAGAAACTGCACTGCAATCCCAGAGATACGTGGTTCGAATCCACCAGATGGCTCTGCTGGAGAAGGAGGGACAATCTCCTCCTGTACCAGTCAGATCCGATTTGATGGCACACACACAAAAAATAATAAAATTATTATTATTATTATTAAATTTTATTTGTTTTAATGAACATTTTAAAAAATAATGAAATTTTAAAAAATTATTTTTAAAAATGTTAAATCAGCAACCTGCATTATTCAGATGACACAACCTTGCTTCCTGAAAGCAAGGAGCAGACGGGACGCCTCCGGGATCAAGGACGGTAAGAGGACCAAGAACTGCAGCCTTCAGTATGGATTGCATCTCAACATCAGGAAAACAAGAATCCTCTCCACTGGGATAATAGGCAACATCGTGGTGGTGGTGGTGGTGGTGGTTGCGTACCACAGAGTTGGAACCAACTCATACTTGACCTCCAGTGGGTTTTCAGAGGCAGTTAGTCGTGCGGGAGGAAATTGCTTATCCTCCTACAGAGTAGCTGGTGGCCTCGAACTGCGTGGCTTCTTGCCACTAGGCCACCAGAGCCCTCTGATAGACAATATCATCCTAGATGGAGAAAAGGTTGAAATTGTCAACGCTTTCATCTTGCTTAGATCTATAGTCAACACTCTTGATACCAGGAGTTAGGAGATCCGGAGACATAGAGCATTGAGAAAGTCCTCTGTGAGGGATCTTTCCAAAGTCCTGATGAGCAATTATGTCACTTTAATGACTGAGGTGCACCTGATTCAAACCATAGTCTTTCCAATCACCTGATTCAAACCATAGTCTTTCCAATCACCTGATTCAGGCTTCAGTCTTTCCAATCACCTGCTGTGTGTCTGAGAGCTGTACAATGAATAAGGATGACAGAAGAAGCAATGCATTTGAGTTTTGGTGTTAGAGAAGAATGCTGAATATCTCATGAACAAACAGATACGCCTTGGAAAAGGTGCAACCAGAATACTCTTGAGAGGCAAGGAGGGCAAAGCTTCGTCTTGCATACTTTGGGCACATGTTGTCAGGAGAGGCTGTTCCTTAGAAAGAGATATAGGGAGCTCTAGTGGCCTAATGGCAAGAAGCTGTGCTACAATCCTGAAAGTGCATGGTTCGAATCCACCAGATGCTCTGTTGGAGGAGGAGGGGCAATCTCCTCCTGTGCCAGTCGGATCTGATTCGAAGGCACGCATCAAGGGGGCGGGGAGAAAGGGACATGCTTGGAAAGGTGGAGGGAAGAGAAAGACGATGACCCTCAACAAGGCGGATTGGTTGAATGGCTGCAGCAAGGAGGTCAAACGTGTCGGGACGATAAGGATAGGGCAGGGTGGGACAGGGTTCGGATCTGTTGTTGCTCGAATCTCGATGAGTCATATTTGAGCAGCACTTTACAACATACCAACAAAGAAGGGTTTGAATGTTTGATTAGGGAAGGCACCGTAGAGACTTTTTTCCTCTTAATTCTTTCATTTTCAAACTGGTGAATCAATGTTGCAGCAGACTCCAAAAGTAATGATTTTCATTTTTAGTATCACTATAAATACATAATGAACAGATTTTTTTATATTTGATTATTCTGATCCAGTGCACTCATGATTCCGTTTAATGCTCAGGCTGTTGCACTGCGCCCTGGGAACTCTTCAGCTACCATTAGTCTTTGATGATTTTCTTGTTTTCTGGCCCGACAGGGAGTTCCAGGATCATCATGTGCATAGCTTGCTTCAGGCCTGCAGTTGGCCATTTTGTGTAGCACCCTGGCAGTCATTACTGGAAATAGAAACCACAATTTCAGTGCCAAGAGTTCTTACTGCATCTGGGCTATCATACACGTCTAAACCTTGTTGTTGTAGTTGTTGTTGTGTGCCGTTGAGTCAGATCCAACCCCCACCCGACCCTCCAGCCGGTTTTCAGAAGCAGTGAATCTCTTGGAAGGAGGTCCTGTGGAGCCTCTGGTGGATTTGAACCAGCTGCTTTGGGGTTGACAGGACAGCCCCTTATCACTAGGCCACCAGAGTTCCCTAAACCTTTTATACTAGAGAGAGTTTTTTTTAAAAAAAAATTTCCTTCGACAAAAATCTAATTCATGACTTCATATTGGTTTTGTTTTTTTTTCAATTCAAGATAATTTTTTCTTCACATCTTTGTGTTTCTCTTTTTTTTTTATTTTATTTCTTAACATCTTGGTTTTATCTTATGCTAAAACTCTTAGTTTCCTAAAGTTATTAATGTAATTATTAAATTGGCATACTGTCTGTTATATAGACAAACAGTCTTTAGAAATAACTGTACTAGAATTTTCTTTAATAATAAGACAACTCATTGCAGTTTAGAATTTTGGGTTCCTTTTGTTTGTGGATATATAGTCAGAAGAATATCATGTTTTAAAATCACTTGAACTAATGCCCTGTATAGTATGTCATCAGTTTTACATCCACTTATATTCCTTTCCTTATTGCCTTTTTCGTAGTGATTTAATTTGGTTTTCACTATGTAGCATGTTTACATGGTTCCAACATTAGAATTATCAACAAAGATAAAGTTAGATAAATCTTCCGCTCGTTTCTACCCTCTCTCTTTTCACTTAACGCCCCTCCCCCTAGAAGTGATCTCTTTTTCCCTAATTGTTGTAAAAATGTATACAACACAGCATTAGCCAATTTAGGACTCTTCACATGTACGATTTAATGGCACTCGTTACATTAATCATTCTGGGAAACTGTTGATGATGGCCGCTGCCAAATTCCCATTCTCATCGTCAGACTCTCCCAGCTTCCTAAGAAGCTGCCTCTTGTCCCCTCCTCCCATCTCTGGGACCCCTGGTACCCTTGGTCTCCAGACATTTGCCTCTTGGAGGTATTCCAGGTGAATGAGATCACACGAACTTTATCCCTTGTGATGGAGGGAGTAGTCAGATTTTATTACTGCATTTTTTTCACGTATGATTCATGCCATATATAAGGTATAGAGTGTAAAGCAGTATGATATAAGAGAGGACCCAAGATTTGCCAAAAACATTTACCACACATCATGTGCATAAAAGTATACTAATTCCCACATACTGTCACACATACTTTGGGCACGTGGCCAGGAGGGACTGGGCCTTGGAGATGAACATCATGCTTGGAAGGGTGGAGGGACAGCGCAGAAGAGGAAGACCCCAGATGAGACGGATTGACTCAGTGACTGGGGTAACGGGGGTAGATGTGTCGGAGTCAGTGAGACCAGCTCAGGACAGGGCGGGCTTCAGGGCTGTTGTACAAAGGGTCGCTATGAGTCCCAGGCGACTTGATGGCACATAACAAAAACAATAATGTTAAGATGTAACCCATATTGAAGTCTGTAGTCTTTAACAGTAAGTGCTTCAAGTCTTCTGTTTCTGCAAGCAAGGTTGTATCTTGATGCATAACACAAATTGTTGATGACGATGTTGTTATTAGGTACCACCAAGTCAAGTAGGACTCACAGTGACCCTATGCGTAACAGGCCTCATTGTGACCCTGTGAACCCTGTCCTATCCTGTACCATCCTCATCATCTCTAACACACTTAAACTCATTGCTACAGTGTGTCCACCCATCTCATCGAGGGTCTTCCTCTCTTTCACTGACCCTCCACCTTTCCAAGCATGATGTCCCTCTCCAGGGAACAGCCTCTCCTAACAATATGCCCAAAGTGTGTGAGATGAAGCTTCATGCTCTTCGCCTGTAAGGTGCGCTCTGACTACACTCTCTCCAAGACATACCTGTTTGTTCTTTTGGCAGTTCATGGGGTGTTCAGTGCTCTTCTCCAGCACCATAGTTCAAAGGCATCAGTTCTTCCTCTGTCATCCTTAGTCACGGTCCAGCTCACAGCAGGATCGTAAAGCCATTGGCCTGGATCGGGCGCACCTTAGTCTCCAAACTTCCTCTGATCCTGACATCACATTATTCTTCATATAGTCAAGTTCCTCAGATCACTCACTCAGCACACAGATCGAATAGGTGTGGAGAGTGGATACAGCTCTGATTCTGCTCCCAGGCAAAGGCATTTAAACTGAAGCCTTGACTTTGCCTTCCTGAGTTACCTCCCAAATCAAGTGGCTTTGACACTGGTTACATTAATCACACTGTACAACTATCACCAAGAGCTTTGGGTTGACCTTGGTTGAACAGATAGAAATCCTCCTGATCAAAGAAAATACTCAAAGTACAGGAGACAGGCCGTCTGGGAGCAGCCCCCAAACCCCACAGAGTCCCGCTGCTCCTCCACACACTTTCTGTCCCTCACTCACTTTCTGTCTTCCAGGTGCCTGTGCAGTCCTGGTTCGATGACATGACGGACACGGAGCTGCTGGACCTCATCCCCTTCTTTGAGGGCCTGAGCCGCGAGGACGACGTGTACAGCACACTGCACAGACTCTGCAGTAGGTAACCCCGGCCTCAGCCGCCAACCCCCGGCACGCTCTGGGGACTTGCCTGGCCCAGCTCCCCAGGAACAGAAGCGGGGACACTGCTCCAGCCTCTGGGTTGAATGTGGCCATGCCTGCCTGTTGCTTTTTAAAAAAAAAAGAAAGAAAAAAGAACAGAAACAACTATTTTAAAAAAAGAACTCTTTTAATGAATTTCATAAAAGGACATGTATTTTACAGGATTTGCTTTTCTTAAAACATACCAAAAAGAAAAAAATGAAAAAAAAAAAACCACAAAACCAACCAACAACCCAACAACAAACCCAACTGCTTGATACCTTGACTTCCCTCAGCAGCCCTCCCTTTCCTGCAGACCACCTGTCCCTTTCCCAGCTCCGAGCAGCTGACCCAACTCAGAATCTTTCCTACAGGATGAAGTGCCTTTTTGAATGTTATTTTAAGCTGAGAGTTAATTTTTCTACGCAACCTATTTCCAGACATCTTTTAGTCTTTTATTGTCTTAGAGGACAATTTTCTAGATGCTGGGAGGGGGGAGGGGGGCACAAAGGGGAGGGTGTCATGGGGACCTGTCCCCCAGCAGTGTGGCTTTGCTTTGATGACCTGGGGCCTGTTGCAAGGTCACGCCCCTCATCAGGAGGTTTTTGTGACTATGTCATTGTCTCCACGGATTTTGGACCCCGTTTGGAATGTATCTGCAATCCCCCTGGCTCAACACGCTGAGAAACGATAGATTGTTTTGTTTCGTTATCATTACTGATGGTGACGACTTTGTCTTGGGGTCACCTTTTGCCCTTGGAAAGTGGTGTCACGTCACGCCTGCGTTCACACTACTGCCACCCTTCCGTGTTTTTCACTTTTTGTTTTGTTTTGTGGTTGTTGTCATTTTTGGTAGAGCAGTTTCAAGAAATCCTAAACCCCCTTGGAAATGCCAGCCACCAACAGAAACCTGCTTATTGATTTTTAAGCCTTTCCTTTCTACAAGCTGGACACACACGGAGCTGTTGGGGAATTTTCTTTGCTGCTACCGAGCTGACACCAAATGGAATCGACCAGCGGCTGTTACACTGTTCTTTACCACAGTACCTATGCTTAGAATTCGCTCACTGCTCAGCTGCAGACTTGGACAGGGTCAGAACTAGCGGTGTCCTGTTCCAGGGCAAACTGCATCGACCGCATCCCGTCTCCTGGCGCTGGCCAGCGGGGACTCAGAAGGGCGAGAAGACAAGGGCCAGTGCTCCACACTGGTGCGGCGAGCCTTTTAAACACAGCCAACATCAGAGTCTCTGATAAGTTGACTGTTCTCTCTCGAGAAACAGGGGCCTCAGCCGGCCACTGAGCCGATGTGGCCCAAGCCCCTTCCCTGGTCTTCTCTTTGGAAGCACAGCCTCTCTCATAGCCAGGGGTTAGGGAAGGCTGTCCAGATGTGGCCCTGTCACCTAAGCCAGAAAGAAGGAGGGGTCCCGTCCCCGAGTTGAAATTCCCCTTGCAGTCTTTCCCAGAGAGGTGTTTGAAGCAGTGCCACGTCCCTTGTTTGACAACACGACAGTCTCCAAAGTATTGCTTTTAAAAATCACCGAAAGGAACCCTTTAGTGTTGGCATGATTGCCTTAGTTCTCTGTGGACTGGTCCTCGGCTGGCCACGTAGCCGGCTCTGGTGGGAGCGACTAGCACTACCAAGACTGGAAGTGTGAGGGTCAAAGTAAAATCTCCCTTTTGCTTTCATACGTAAAATGACAAAGCCAGCTGCCAACAAGTCCTCTTAGCAGCACTTTGGTCTGCGGACTGCTGTGCATTCAGAAGAGAAAGTAGTATTCAGGAGTTAACCAGTTCCCCCAGCATTCAAAGTGTTCCAAACCCAGAAATCCACATGCCACTTAAAATGGAAGTGGGCCCTCCCCGGGCACCTCCACAGGTGACAGGTCCGTGACAGACCTGCACACGCCATAAAACTTTATTTGGAAAAAACCAGTCATTAAGTGAACCCGCTGCCTTAAATGTGTTGAATGTTGCCGTCAAGTGTCTGTCATGTGTTGAAATCCACATAAAAAGGGGCCCTGACGAGAGCCTCAGACCCTCACCTGTGCCCCCTTCTTCACTGGCATCACCGGATCTGATTTGGAATAGGGGCAGAGAGGCTTGAAATTCTAGAATATTTCAGGGGAATCAAACGAGGAATCGTGCTCCGACTGCTGGAATGAAGACGCTTGGCAGGCTCGAGCCAGAAACCTCTAGTTCTTGAAGCCGGGCGCACATCGTTGCACTAACCCAGCCTGGGGTGTTGGGGACAGGGCCCAACTCCTGCTGCCACAGACACAGAACGTCTCGGGAGGGCAGCTGACCCTCGGAGGGTTCTGGAATCTGTGCACCTTATTTGACTACACTCCAAAATTCCATTTTTTTGTTTTAACCCTTGATTTTGCTTTATTATGTACATAATCAAAATATCTTATCTCTATATATATATATATTTTTTAATCATCAACATTATAAATGAAGCAATAGAATTCTAACACAAGGCCAAGAAATGAGACGAATGTTTGGGGTTTATGGGGAATTTTTCTTAAGGTAAATACGGGTATTGTTTTTAATTATTACCTTTTATTAAATTGTGGGGTTTAAAACCTGATGAAACGTGTTCACACTTTTTCTCTCTCTGTGCCATGTATTTCCCATCTTACCAAATAACCCCAACTCTTTAGCCAAAAGAAAATCTGACCTATTGAGTTTCCATGGCTCTTGCTGTCCTGGGTTAAAATGTCTCCTGAATGAGTATTTTGTTTGTTTGTTTGTTTGTTTTAATTCGTGTCTGGGACAGGAAACCTTGGACTCAGGGTCCCTGGTCAACTTTGATGGGCTGTTTGTTTCTGGCCCGGCCAGGAGGAGGGATGCCCCAGCCCCTTTGAGGTTGTCAGTACTGTTTTCCATTGCTCTGAAATCCTACATGTCAGTCCGTTCAACCCTTTCACTGTTAGCAATCATTGGTACATCAAAAGGGAAGTCCGGCTTTTGCAGGTCGGTGGGAAGCTCCTTCAACGTGGTGCAGATGTGATGGCATCATTATGATGACAGGAGGACACTCACTGATGCTGACTTATCATGCTTGGAGCATTTGAACTCGTGCAAAAAAAAAAGGAAGTCTGGCGTCTGTGTAACCTGGTAACATTTCCCAGCCCTGTACTTTCAAGAGTTGGCTTTCTAAGAAAATCCAGATCTGCACAGCCCTCTCTCTGGTCAAACCCTCATGAAGTTTGTGCCTCTGCTTTCAAAGGTGCTGTGATGGACAGCTGGCCTGTCAGGGTGGGCGTGAGATGAGTGGGGCTGGAGGTGCTGGAAGTGGTCTGTGCAGAACGGGCCGGCTGCCTCTGTTCTTGTCATTGGATCATGTCTGTCCCGTTCCATTCTCCCAGGAGCTTCTCTGCAGACAGACACCCACCGCAGGCAGTGGCGATGAGAGTGTCTGAGTAGTCACGGATTTCTGTGGAGCATTTGGATGTGATAAATAATACAGCACTACAAGTGGGATGTGCACGTGTGCAGGGGCAGAGGTTTGCGATGATTTCCTTCCTGCCAAAAATAAACACATGAAACAGCGCTCCCTTGTGGTCTCTGCCTCTCTAGCATCTGGGCCTCTCTCCTCGCCCATTCTCATCCTCTGCACCCACCGTGAGTGGACCCGCTGACCATGGGTGTCTTGGCACCCAGAAGGGACAGGGGAACTACAGGACCCTCTGACCATGGGTCTCCTGGCACCCAGAAGGGACAGGGGAACTA